ACCATGTGTAGCTTTGTGCTTAACTACAAACAAACAAACAAGTTATGAGCAGCTACCATGTGTAGCTTTGTGCTTAACTACAAACAAACAAACAAGTTATGAGCAGCTACCATGTGTAGCTTTGTGCTTAACTACAAACAAACAAACAAGTTATGAGCAGCTACCATGTGTAGCTTGGCATGAAAGCAAAAAAATAATCACAATATTAAACTTAACGTTTTAAACATTTTTAACGAGATCTTTCTAAACTAGATGAAATGTAAAACGCGTGCTCAAATCATTGTTAACCTAAGGCACGCCAGTCCACCAGTTTTAACAAAATCTGTCAAAATGGAATGTTTTTAATAAGAGAAAAATCCGAATTTTACGGTTGCAGTCAAATTTTAAAGGGGCGTTCATTTATTTATTTTTATCAAATTTAAATCGCGTGTTCAAATTACTATTTACCTGTGGCACATTAGTCAACCATCTTTAACAAAGTCCGTCAAAATGAATGTATTTGTTCAAAGAAACATTGAGATTTTACGTTTTCAGTCAACTGTTAAGGGGGCGCTTCTTTACTTTTTTATATTTTACAGAAATAAGAGTGATGTGCTTAAATATTAATCTATATAAATATAATAGTACTGTCTGTTGTATGTCCATGTAACTACTTCGTAAGGTGTGGATGGATCTTCACCAAATCTGTTATGAAGGTTCATTGGGTCCATAGAGAGATACATATAAATTTTCAGTTTTGCGTTTTGCGGTTTTTATTAGCGTTTTTGCGATTTTTACCACTACCTCACCTCTTGTTGATGGATCTTCACCAAATTGGGCATGAAGATTTCTTGGATCCATGCGGAGATACAAACAAACTTGCGGTTTCACATTTTGTGTTTTGCAGTTTTTATGAGCGTCTTTGCGTTTTTCACAATTACATATATAAGGGAAGCAACTTTTCATGTCTTAAGTTAACCTTTCATTAATCATGAATTTACAGAACTTCCGTCCAGGGGAGGGGTACTCCAGAAAATAAGTCCACTGAATGTTGGTGACATAAAACATACTGCAGAGTTTCTCAAGAGATTTGTTTTGACGACACCTTTAACTTGGTAAAGTAACTGAAATGTATATACACGGGAGTGTTTAGCATAAAGATACTTTATTTTCCACATAGTGTTAAAAAAATATAAATATATAATAAAATATGACAGTTTTATATATATACTGTATGTTAAAATGTATGTACAGTATCTGTAACTGGTCAGGGTTGGCATGGCCTGGCGGTCAGGCGCTCGACTCGCAATATGCAGCTCGCAGGTTCGAATCCCTTTCAGCTGTGGGGGCGTCTCTAATTTAGAAGGCTAGCGCAGATAGCCTTCGAGTGGCTTTGCCGTGACATTTAAAACAAACAAAACCAAACTGTTCCAGGTCGTATTCAGACTATATTGGAGAGTAATAAACTAACGGTTATGTAAATTAGGTAGTAGTCCAAGAATTGCCAATAGTTGGTGTTAACTAGCTGCCTTCTCTCTAATATATCACTTCTAAATAAGGTAGTAGTCCAAGTATTGGCAATAGTTGGTGTTAACTAGCTGCCTTCTCTCTAATATATCACTTCTAAATAAGATAGTAGTCCAAGAATTGGCAATAGTTGGTGTTAACTAGCTGCCTTCGCTCTAATATATCACTTCTAAATAAGGTAGTAGTCCAAGAATTGACAGTAGTTGGAGTTAACTAGCTGCCTTCTCCCTAATATATCACTTCTAAATAAGGTAGTAGTCCAAGAATTGGCAATAGTTGGTGTTAACTAGCTGCCTTCTCTCTAATATATCACTTCTAAATTAGGTACGGCTAACGCAGGTAGCTGTAAAATAACTTAAATTAAACAAATTAAACAAACAAACCTAAAATGTATCTACCTCGTACCAAATTGTGTTTGGATTATATTGGAATAAAATGAACTCAGACAGTTATATATATATATTAAAATGTACGGACCTTGTTCTAGGTCGTATTCTGGATCCAAGCTCATCACTTCCCATGTTACGTTGTTCAGACCTACGAAGGAATAGATGATGTGGGTACACAGATCTGCTGGAATATCTTCTATATCATAGTCCATTGGATGTGGTCGATTAACTGCCCAGGCGCTATAGTAACACACGATTTTGTATTTGCTGGGGTCATGGTTATATTGCCGTATGTCTGGAAGGTTATACAAAAAATGAAGTAGCTAAGAAATTAGCTAACGAGAAAACATGCATGTTAATGAATGTGGCATTAACTGATATAGTTTGTTGAATGTGGCATTAACTGATATGGTTTATTGAATGTGGCATTAACTGATATGGTTTATTAAATGTGGCATTAACTGATATAGTTTACTGACTGTGGCATTAACTGATATAGAGTATAGAGTGTGGCATTTACTGATACAGTTTACTAAATGTTGCATTAACTGATATGGTTTATTGAATGTGGCATTAACTGATATAGTTTACTGAATGTGGCATTAACTGATACAGTTTACTGAACGTGGCATTAACTGATATAGTTTACTGAATGTGGCATTAACTGATACAGTTTACTGAACGTGGCATTAACTGATATAGTTTACTGAATGTTGCATTAACTGATATGGTTTATTGATTGTGGCATTAACTGATATAGTTTACTGAATGTGGCATTAACTGATATAGCATTTTGAATGTGGCATTAACTGATATAGCATTTTGAATGTGGCATTAACTGATATAGAATATTAAATGTGGCATTAACTGCTATAGAATATTGAATGTGGCATTAACTGCTATAGAATATTGAATGTGGCATTAACTGATATAGCATATTGAATGTGGCATTAACGGCTATAGAATATTGAATGTGGCATTAATTGATATAGCACATTGAAGGTGGCATTAACTGATATAGTCTATTGACTGTGGCATTAACTGATATAGTCTATTGACTGTGGCATTAACTGATATAGAATATTGAATGTGGCATTAACTGATATAGCACATTGAAGGTGGCATTAACTGATATATTACATTGAAGGTGGCATTAACTGATATAGCACATTGAGGGTGGCATTAACTGATACTTTTTTCCAAATACAGATATACAGGAAATAATAGATTAGCCATCTAAGTTTTGTTAACAAAAGAAACTGATTTTGTTATTCGACACATTTTTATCTTAATAATCATGGTTTTCGTTATAAACTGATTCTTATTTTTCCCAAATGAAACAATACCACACAATCATTTGTGTATAAATACAAATATATATATACAAACTGATAGAGTATTCAGAATGCTCAAGTACTAAACCTTAAGAACAACAACTTAGCTGTTTATTACATCATAATACTGTAAGTGTAAACTTTTAAAGATTATTGAAATAATACCAGAAAATTAATGGTAATTAAACTAAAGATAAGAATCAAAAAATAATTAAATAAAAATACATATCTGAATTACACAGAAAATAAAAACAATTATATACTTGTCAGAATCATCTTAAAGTTTTTAATGTTGTGAATATTAGATAATCCAACTTACCGGTCAGTATTATTATAGGGTTGTAAGTGTTAGATAATCCTACTTACTTGTCAGTATTATTATAGTGTTATAAGTGTTAGATAATCCTACTTACCGGTCAGTATTATTATAGTGTTGTAAGTGTTAGATAATCCGAGTTACCGGTCAGTATTATTATAGGGTTGTAAGTGTTAGATAATCCTACTTACTTGTCAGTATTATTATAGTGTTGTAAGTGTTAGATAATCCTACTTACCGGTCAGTATTATTATAGGGTTGTAAGTGTTAAATAATCCTACTTACTTGTCAGTATTATTATAGTGTTGTAAGTATTAGATAATCCAACTTACCGGTCAGTACTGTCATAGTGTTGTAAGTGTTAGATAATTCAACTTACCGGTCAATACTGTCATAGTGTTGTAAGTGTTAGATAATCCAAGTTACTGGTCATTATTATCATTGTGTTGTGAATATTAGATAATCCAACTTACCGGTCAGTACTGTCATAATGTTGTAAGTGTTAGATAATCCAAGTTACCGGTCAGTACTGTCATAGTGTTGTAAGTGTTAGATAATCCTACTTACTTGTCAGTACTGCCATAGTGTTGTAAGTGTTAGATAATCCAACTTACCGGTCAGTACTGTCATAGTGTTGTAAATGTTAGATAATCCAAGTTACCGGTCAGTACTGTCATAGTGTTGTAAGTGTTAGATAATCCTACTTACTTGTCAGTACTGCCATAGTGTTGTAAGTGTTAGATAATCCTACTTACCGGTCAGTATTATTATAGGGTTGTAAGTGTTAGATAATCCTACTTACCGGTCAGTATTATTATAGGGTTGTAAGTGTTAGATAATCCTACTTACTGGTCAGTATTATTATAGGGTTGTAAGTGTTAGATAATCCTACTTACTTGTCAGTATTATTATAGTGTTATAAGTGTTAGATAATCCAACTTACCGGTCAGTATTATTATAGGGTTGTAAGTGTTAGATAATCCTACTGATTTGTCAGTATTATCATGGTGTTGTAAGTGGGATAAAATCGTATTTATCTTTTAGTATTATTATTATTACAGTGGATAACTGTATATTTATTTCTCAGTATTACGGCAGCGTAAGTGGTAGATGTAGTTGATAATATATTCAGAGTGTATTAAGTGTTAGATAATCCTACTTACTTGTCAGTATTATTATAGTGTTGTAAGTGTTAGATAATCCAACTTACTGGTCAGTATTATTATAGGGTTGTAAGTGTTAGATAATCCTACTTACTTGTCAGTATTATTATAGTGTTATAAGT